AAGGACTTGCTTTGTAGTTGTTTGGTGAGTTGCTTGGTGTTTTGGCCTGATCTTAAAATATGTGCTTGCGGCTGGGAGCTTTTTTATATCATGTCTAATTTTTGTTTAAAAAAAAAATCATCTACAGAAACCCTTTAGTACATCAGATAAGGGGAAAGAGTATGAATTTTGCTTTTAACCTCCATTAGGCAACTTTGCCTGTCTACTTGCAATGATTTGGGCTTTAACATTAAACTATATCATGATGCAGCTGCCACTTTTTGAGATCCTAAGCATGTGTTCAACCTATCTGTGTGTTTCAATAACAACTTGTTTGACTGTCCTGAGCTACCAAAATTACTTGTTTGTCACATTGCCAATAAAATGTATTTTTTTTTCTCTGTAAGAATGAAATTCTAGGATTACTAGATATTAATTTCCCCCAAAGTATGATTTCTCACCATACGGCCATTGTAGTGATTTTAAAAACCTATCTGTATATAGATAAACAAGATAATAATGGTTGTAAGTTCAGATAAATTTTGGGGGGAAGGAGGTCAGGATGTTTCCCCTCGGTCCGGAACATGCTTCCAAGGCTACAAAAACCAGTGTACAGTTGTTAAACAAGTTGTAAATAAAGGCTTCTATAAAATGTGTGATGCTTTTTTATTACAAGAGAACATCTATCTTGTCACAGCTAGTAGTCTTATTTTTCTTCAGAAGAGTTCTCAGAGGGAATTGAGACGGTCACTGCTTAGTTTTCAATACAGAATATGAATTCCTGTCTTCTTAGTTTAAGTCAAATATGCTATCCGGTGTACTTGTATCAGGTTTTGTTGGATCCACTTTAAGGACTGCTGTTGTGGTAAACAAAAACAACCCTTGGAATCTAGTGAACAAAAACAACCCTTAGAATCTAAGTATAAGAATCTAAAGCCTACTCACAAAAGCTCTTGTAGGAATTAAAGCAGATTTCTTTAAAAAAAAAAGTTATGAAGAAATACTTGACAGAGGAGCAAAGCAATTAGTGGGCTTTTATATTCCCTAGGATTTCTAATCAATTGGTGCAGTTTTGTTGATAACATTTCCATGACTCCGCATCTACTTTTATGGTAGGGAATGCCAGTGATAAGTTTTTTGGGGTGGCAAAGTGTTGGACTTTCTCAGCTGCCTTCAAAGTAGCCTGCTATAAGCCTTGGCTGTCTTCTCCCAAAGGTGCTTTTTCAAGTTGCCTCTTGAAAAAGCACCTTTGGGACAACCATGACCTGGATGACTGAGAATCTCCATAGACGTTTGCTGACTTCCGTTCATGGAATTGAATCCTTCCAGGCTGATTGTGCCGACACAACTGGAACTTCAACGTGGCTCTCACCATTATCAGTAGTGCCTTCAAGCCTGGTCCTGCCATTATGTTTTGCATTTAGGGCAGGTTGAAGACTCCTCACAATGAATGGATGCAAACCTGGCTCTTAAAAAGGTACGGATTCAATGTTTTATTATTGTAAAAGTAGGAGTGGATGCCAAGACGCCAAATGCCTTGTTCCGTAGCTGGGCCACCTCTGATAATACAGTAGATCGTACTGTGCCACCCTGCTTCTATTGCCTTTCCTAACACTGAATTTGGCAAAGTAACATAACCCAACTCCTGGCAGTGACAAGGGGGCTGAATTTGCCAGCCAGCTCTTGACAGCAGCCTAGAAAAAAACAATAAGCAGAGGCAACAAAAGTGAATTCTGAGTGTTATCCAGAAGAGTCTTGCCGACATTGTCTATTTAACTAGACATCTCAGGGCCAGTGAGGAGGAAGCTACATTAGACCACCCATATCCCCCAGGACACGTATCAAACGGGCTCTTTGCAAGACAACTTGGGGCTCTTACACTGTCCTCTCATTTCTCCTATTGATTTCTTAAAAGATATATAGGGGCGTTTTAATTTTGGGGGAGTAGAAATATCCTTGACATTATGCAACTGAAAATTTGCAGTGGCTAAAGGACTGCTGCTGTTTTCATCACATTCTTCACCTTTATGTTTTTGGATTTGTTGCCATTCCAACATATGGATAAAACTTATACAACCCAACAATATACAGGTAGTCCTCAACTTACAACCACAATTGAGGCCAGCATTTATGTTTCTATGTGAGAATTGAGTTTTGCCCCCGTTTACAACATTTCTTGCCACGGTTAAGTGAATCATTGTAGTTGCAGTAACCTGGTTAAGTGACTCTGGCTTCCTCACTGACTTTGCATGTCAGAAGTTTGTAAAAGGTGATCACATGACCCCAAAACGCTGCAACAGTCATAATTATGAACCCAGTTGCCAAGCATTTGAATGTTGATCACATATCATAGGAATGCTGCAAAGGTTGTAACTCTGAAATGCGTTCAGGTCATTTTTTTTCAGTGCCGTGTAACTAAATGACCTGTTGTAAGTCAAGGACTACCTGTACAGATTTTAATCCAACTGCTAAATATGAGGGAAGATTAAAATGTTTATAATGGTTGCACGTTAATCCATTTTTCATTTTAAGTGCTCATTCCAACTCCCTTCTTACCAAGTCATAAAATTACCAATGCAAAATCCGTCAAAAAGCACTTTTGTTCCCAAAAAAGGCTAATTGCTGACTGAATACAGGAAGGAATGCCCAGGCCACAGTCTCTGCTTGGTAGGGTGCCACAAGGCTTGCCTGGTACTCTCATCTCCTGTCTCTAACATCAACACGAACACCAGAGTTGCTTTTGGGGGGATGCGAGGTTCTACAAATTTGATGAATAAACAAACATGGATGTCTCTGGGTGAAGTTATCAGCATGATCGCTTTTTGTCTCCACAGCAGCCTGTTGAGTATGATGGGGAACAAAAGGCTTCAACGCAATCTAAGCAAAATGGAGTAAGTAGCTTTTAGGAGAACCCCCCTCCCCAATCTCTGTAGACCTTCCATCTTTTGAGTTCTGGATGAGGCTGCAGTTACGTATTGCACCAATTCCTGGAGGAGGAGGCCGGCCCTGCTTAGTCACACGTGCCTTGGTCACTCCCCAATTAGACTACTGCAACATGATCTATATGGAACTGCCTTTAACAGTATTTGAAAGCTTCAGCTGATGCGAAATGCTGTGGTGTGGGAAACTACGGATGCATCTTGAAAAGTATTCGATCTAAATTATTGGAACAGCACTATACAATCAAAATATAGCTAGGATTTTTCTCTAATTTTCCATACGTATGCAGGAAATCATCCAAAGTGAAACATGTTGCTTTAGTGGGATGCTGCTGCTGTTGTTGTTGCTGTTGCTGCTGTGAGAAATACAAAACAAAAACTTGTTTGGTTGTAACTGAATCCTGTTGAAACCCATCATGTGGAAAGAGTTTAATTATGATCTCTTTTTTGCCAATAAGCTAAAAATCGAAGCTGACTTTTGGAAATTACCACTCGCATGAAGTGAAAAAAAAATGGTCTTTTGATTTGAATGCCTAGGTTTTATCTGATGCAGATTAAGAACATTTCTGAACCATTTTGTAAATAAAAAATAGATCTTAAAAAGTAATCCGGGGTCATAAGGCTACCCTGATACAGGTAAAAGCAAAAAGCTGTACTTTCAAATTGAATGATTATACAAACTGAAAAGTCATACTAATTTTGACAACCTTGTTCTGTATAAGATTTTAAATCAAGTATTTTTACTGTCAAATATTGGTCTGAAATGAGGCAACTGACAATATTGTACTGAATTGTCAAAAAGACAAAACAGAATCAAATTCATAGGAGTAAGACAACAGAACCAAAGATCCAGTATATAATCTAAGAATGTGTTAAATTAAATGTATTCCTAATAAATAAAAATGAGTAGCTGAGCTTTTTCACAGCTTTTGTCAACTGAGAATATGAGAATTTCACTTGTCCAATTTCTGAACAGCAAACTGCAATTAAAAACAACCTAATAACCAACCTGGTAAAGTCAGATGTTTTGTGTCTTGTAACACTCTCTAGAACAGGGCTGTCAAACTCCTGGGCCGTGGACCAGATGTGTCACACATTGGCCACGCCCACACCCATTTTAGTGAAGGGGGGGCAAGTCCTGATACATTATGTGACGCCACCGTGAGGTGACTTTGCTCTAGAATTTGTTGAATAGCTCTTTGAGCTTATTCAAATTAAAGAGTATCCAGTTCGTTTTAGAGTATACATTTTCAGTGCCATGAATCTGTCCATGAATGATTTGAAGTTAAACAATATTGATGGTTTTTTAATTATCGCTCATTTCTGTTCCATTACCTGAGGTTGATACTTGACTTTATTTACATATTTATTTTTTATCCCACCTGTATTATTTTTCCAAATATCTCAAGGTGGCAAACATATATAATACTCCTTCCTATTTCCCCCACAACTACTACTTCATGAGGTGGGTTGCTTCATGTCCCAAGATTTCCAATAAGATCCAATTTCATGCTACTTTTGTGAAGCTTTTATTGCCTCCATTTCATGCTTTTTAAGAAACTGATGTTAACAGCATTCCAAAACAGGATACTAACTTATTTACAAAATTACATGAAAGAAAAGCTCTATAACATTTGAAAGTCCCTGGCTACTTAACCTCCTACAACTTAGAAACACTTTAAATGAGCATATGGTTTTAATGAAGCATCGTAATTTCAGTGTATCTAGTGAAATAATGAAACATTTGTGGTCACAACAGAACACATCCTCTATAGTCAGCAAACAAGCCTCAACAAATCATAGTCTTTTTATGTATTTTCCACTCTGTGACCAAAGTTTAAAATGAAGTTGTGTGTTCAGGGAGAGTGAGAGAATCGAGTGTAAGCCTCCTTAAAACATCATTGTAGTGGCCTGTCTAAAATCAAATTGTTTTGATAACACAGCAACATCAAAGAATCAACTGAACAAACAGTCTTGAAAATGCTTTATTGAACTGTGGGTCTTACTGTAATGTGCAGGTATGTTTGAAAAGACTACAGCTTGAAAACTGGTTTTTAAAATCCTCAACAGTTTAAAAAACAAAAACCCTACCGGGTTAAACACCCAAGTTAACCTGAGGGCAGCTTTAGAATTCCCCCCTTAGAACATTCAGTTTCAAAGAGTAAAGAGAAAAAACAAATCTAGTACTGTATTTTATAGAGAAATAATTGGAGTCAAAACTAACAGCGGTCAATAGATTTTCCCATTTTAAAGAGTAGCATCCATGTCAAGACTATCCTGCTATTTGAATCTGAATTTATTTTTTATTATTTATTTTAAAAAGCTTGTACTGTGGCAGAAGTGGAAGAATATACAGGCAAACGGTGGGTGAAGAAAGTGAGAGAACCAGGCAGAAACATGATTGTGGTCTAAGCCTAGTTTAGATTTAACCAGAAGCGGTGTGCAATTTTGTCTTTATTGTCTAACTTTACATTCCATTTCCCACAGCCCCACCCTCCACCCATCCCAAACCACAATACCCCCACCTGTCCCTGCCTCGGGGTTATTATGAAAGTCTATGCACAAAACACTGTACATTTTATACATACAGGATTAATAGTATAGGCATGTACGTGGCATGATTCCATTAAAAGGCTTTTTTTTAAAAAAAAAATGTTTTATGCCAGAAAAAATATATGAAGAAATAATAAATTAAAAGGTGCTGGAATTAGCATTAAGAATGCAGTTGCAATATATTGAAAAAAGTCTGGGAATCATCTTAAGCTCTCCTGATACTGACAAGTCTGCAACTAGGAAGCAAATACATAAATAACTAGGCATATGACCAAGACGGTGAACGTTTTAAAAGAAGACAATTATGATCCAGATTAACTTTTACTTTAAGACAGTGAATAAATGAACCATCTACACCTTAATAAAACATGTGTCAACAGTTTGAATTTTTTTTTAAAAAAAAATAACAACCATTAAAAAGAAAGGGGGGGAAAAACCCCTTTAAACAAAGCTGAACAAGTACACAATGCAGATTCCTAGGTACACAAAATTTCCTGTTGCCAAGCTTGGCAGTGGTCTTACTTTTGTATACCCTGGTGATGCATAAAAACCAGCTTGATTTATTCCATACATTAAAGTTTGATGGTTAAAGAGGGCAACATTAAAAGACACACTGAGCAAAATGCCACACCCTGAAAAACAACAAGCGGTCCCACTGCAGAGCTTGCGTGATGTGCCAACAGCACACGAAAAAAAAAAAGGTGGTTCCGATATACATTATTCAAAAGCTACTTGATGGTCACACATCACTAAATGAGCACTAACGTCTTCGTCTTGTAACCTTTGAATAATAGGAAAGCTTTGGGGGGTGGGAGTTGTTTGTAGTTTTACTCCTTGTATTTAAAAGTGGTTTGTTTTTTTTAAATGACAAGGTCACTAAAACTCATGCACGCTGCAAAAAACCTCATGCAGTAAAGGTAAACCATCCAAGCAGTTTTTATTAATATTCATAAATACACACAGCAGCTTCATTAGAGATTTCTTTTTTTTTTCCTCTTCAGTTTGAATGTGGAGTATTAGGAGAGCCTTTTTGCATGTCAAAAGTACAGAGCACAGAGGGTTCCCCTCTGCACTGAAACCTACATTTACCTGCTAGAAGTAAAAATTATTTTAAGTGGAAATGATTATCATATATATCTTTTTCTCTCTTCCTTTGAATGTACACAATGTAACAAGAGTGACAGACCTGAAATTACAATCACCAAAACAAACCCAAGATAGTTGTTGTCCACTTTCATTGGCAAATACAGCACAGAGGACATTGTCTGCGAAGTGGGATGTCATCAAAGAGGAGGTGGCGGAGGCTCATTTCCTTTATTACTCTCTTTTAAATTTAGATTTTCTAAAGCAACATCTAAAGGCATAATATCTACACAGCCCATAGCACCAAAATCGGCAACTTCCCCACGTTCATCCTCATCAGAGGATGAGCTTTCTTCCCGCATCAAAGTGGACAATAGAAGCTCTTGAACAAACAGGCTGCGGTCAGCCCGCTCACTCTCCATTGACTGACGCTCTACTTCAGACATCTTGGGATCATTCAACCTGTATAAAAGATGGAACAGGATAGAGCTGAAGAGGATCGCGTGTGTTTCCTTGTAGGACGAATAATTCTAAAAATCCAACGTAAAAGGCCCTGGGGATGTTAGAATTGTTAATAGTTTGGCATTTAATTTGTAAGCTCAATAAACTACCTGGAATTGCTGTTCCAATATGGGTGGCCATACAAGTCTTTTAAATAAATTATGGGGGATGGGGATCAGGAACGAAAAACAAGTCCAAAGTTTTATCTCCAGGCCTCGCTTGCATATTTCCATAAAGGAAAGGGAAAGGGAGCAATAGTTACTTGTTTGATCCTGTAAGCTCACTACTGCTCCACAATTGAGGAAGAACTGGAGAAGATTTTTTTTTTTTTTAAGCAAAGGGGGGCAAGACTCTTTGCCTGTTACACTTTAGTACTCTGCTTACATTTCCTTTGTTTTTTTCTTTCCTTTCAAAGGTCAGTTTTAAGGTATTTGTTTTGGTTTTCTCCTATTTGAGGAAGGTTATCTTTCTATGATCTGAGATGATCTAACCTTTCAGGCTGCTGGGTAGGATCGCTGCTGGCCCCCTGTCTCTGGGACTCCTTTCTTATAGAGAAGCTTATGGTTTAATTGCTTTTTAAAAATAGTTCACATATATATACATTTACTCTAGACTGCATACAGTACTTAAAGAATGTTCAACTGGTTTTTTGTTAAACACAATACAATACAATTAAAGCTTGCAAATCACCCTGCATCCTGAAAAATAAGAGATAAAGAGGGGTGGGGTGGGGGTGGGAATTCAAGTCAGTGGTGGGATTTACTGCCGGTTCTGTGGGCCTGGCTTGGTGGGCCTAGCAGGGGAAGGATCCTGTAAAATCTCCAGTCAGAGGTGGCATTTGCCGGTTCTCTGAACTTCTCAAAATGTCTGCTACTGGTTCTCCAGAACTGGTCAGAACCTGCTGAATCCCACCTCTGATTCAAGTTCCAATTCAAGCACGGAACTCCCAGGTAAATTTAGTTTAGGTGACTGATTCCTGCTGAATCCAAGTCAAGTCATAGGGTGACTATTGTGGGGCAGAAGACATCCCACCAGGAACCTATGCACCATAGGCTCCTTGAAGGAATGTGAGATACAATAATGCAAATAAAGAGGCGTGAGCACCTTAAAGAGTACACAAGGCTTTACAACCAGAATTCACTGTGGCATATACACATACACATAAACACAAATTTGAAGAAGAAAAATCAGAAACACTCAGGTTACATCCAGTAAGTTTGCGGGTAGGGGTGTTAATTGAAATGTATTGAGAAGTATCAATACTTCAATTACTCTGAACATGAAGAGAGACAATGGTTATTCTTTGTGGTCTCTGTGCCTCACTCATGGGTTTGTGCCTGCACAAAACACCAACCTGGAAAGTTCCCCAACTGAGCTTTTGGTGAAAATGCTGCTTCCTTCTTGTTCTGTACCCTGGCCTTGGCTAAACCCCAGTAGTCCTTTCTAACTGCTGCTTTGGTACCAATTAAGAGGGGTGTTCTCTCATCTTTCTGAGTCCAAACCAGATTATTTACATTTCTTTTCATCCCTTCTCTCCTTCTTTTGTCCTCCTTCTATCTCATTGTCCTATCCATTTTTCTCGGCATGCTTGCTCACTTAATAAAAGCCAGTTAGATCTCATCTATTCTTTCCAAACTACCAGATAAACTCTTCCCTATATGTAAGATTGAGAGTATCTTGGCAATGTTTCGAAGAGGTCCCACTCGCCATCTTCAGGCTGCTGTTTTTGGCTTCGTGCTTGTGCAAGCAAAGCGTGATCGGAGCTGCCATCTCCCTATATATATATTTGGTGGGGAGGTTGGCTGTGTTGTCATTTCTTGATTGGATGATGGAGTTGATGTTTGCAGATTGGCTGGCTTCTTACACGGGAAAAGACCCAAACACGCCATATATATGTATACATCTATATATTCCCACTGCTTATTGTTCTGAAGATGGCAAATATTTGTCCAAAGTATCAGCAATATATGTTTCCTACCTTTCAGGCATTCTGAAACCCATGATCCCAACTGAGATGTTCTCTTTGGCAGCTCATACTGTGGCTACATTTCTAGTCAAATAATTCTAGTGTGTCAAACTGGCCAACAAACTGGCCTCTATGCTTGCAGGCTTGAAATACCAAACCTATAATCAGTATTGGAGGTTTCCACTGTTTTCTTGCCAGCAACGTAATCATCTTCAATTCTGATACTGCAATTTCTTGAACCAATTTTATCAATTACAATTGCTCCTGAAACATGGTCGATCCATCTCTGCTCTAGTTAGTAAAATATTAAAAATGTGTTTTTTAAAAAAAATCAAGATTCAAAATCTACTTTTTGGGAATCTCTTACCTGTCCCTTAGCAATTGCTATCTTATTGGCTGCTGGCACTATTTTGTTATCAGCTGACAAACTTACCTGTTCCATCAGCTGTTCATGGTCACTTCACCAGAGCTACAGCAACTTCTGACTGCATTTGCTTGAGGAGGGTCTCTTCCCAACATATGTAGAGTTGGTGGCTTGTCCACACCTTCCATATTTGAAGGTGAAACATTATCAGCTAGATATCCAAGTCAGAGCAGATGCTTACAGTTTTGCTGTTATTTTAACATAATGCAATCTGCCCCTCCTTTTAAAGCTATACAAGGCTACCGTAAGTTTGAGAACTGATAACAAAAAAACGTCTTTCTTTCACTATAGCTCTTCCACTGATCATCTCCATATTCCTAGAACCCATCAGCCTATACCATTGTAGATACCTCTAACATCACTGAATGTGGCAGCAGTGGAAATCTAGGAACTGAAGGAATTTAGCAAAGCCAAGGACTGTAAATATACATGGGATGGGCAATAGTGTCCTGCCAAGAAGCTCAGCTTAAATAGTTTCCCAAAATTCTTTGCATGAAGCAAAGCCATGTGTGTGAAAGCACCAGATGACCATTGAACAAAACAAGAGTCTTGTTTCTTATTAAGTAACAGCTCTGAATTCATCATCATTGTGACTATCCTGGGACTGTTTTCATATACATGGGCCCAACAAGAATTACAGATCACATCTCGACTTGAGTTTGAAAATCAGAACCAATTGGGAGTGAAATGCTGGTGGTGGGAAGAATGTAATGAGACATTCTCCACTGTCACTGATAGATCATTCCCTAGTGAGGTGTGAGTTGATTGAGCCTAAATCCTGGAGAAGCAGTGGATCCATTTAGGCGATCTGAGCCAGAGAGTTGGGGGAATCCTGAAGGCTCTGTGGATTTTCTAGATAACGTGATTGGTGATTCTGTTGAGGCCCAAGAAAAAGAAGAGGGACTACTAACACAATTGCTTTTGAGCACCTACTGCTGTTATATTACATGGAATCCCTTTGGGTTGGAGGGGAACTTCGGGTAATATTTCCTAATAGCAAAGTAATATAAGCATTATTAAATAATATGATTGGGCACAAGATAAAGAGTCACTTTCAAATAGGTAAAGAGGTCCCAATAGTTCTACTTGCAAAGTTAAGATGATAGGTGTGTGTTGTAATTCTACATTTTATATTTGCATCTCCAGATGATAATCTTTCATTGAAAAATACTTTTAGATTAATAGTAGTAATGTTTAAAAAGGAAACATTTTCCTACTTGCTTCTTTATGATGTCTTTTGTAATATTACATTTGATTCTTCATATTTTTATTCTTTGACTAAAAAAAAAAATCCAGGTATAGTCCCCTGACGCTCTTAAGTCATGTGAAGTTGCTGTCCAAATAGATGAAAGGACAGCTTTCACATACAGATCTGCTGAAGAATATGATGCATTCTATACAGATCATTGTGATTATTATGATTGTATATAAAATTTTATAGTGACTGTCTACACATCTAAGCCTTTAGTTTTCACATGTTTTTTTTAACAAGCAGTCCTCAACTGCAACTGACCCCAAAAGTGACCTGTTCTTAAGAAGTGAGGACTATCTCTATTATTATTTGATTCTATTTAAAATAGTTCTCTACACACACATGTGCACATATTGAAATTTAATCCATGTTTAAAGTTGTTTTAAAGTTTACAGTTTAAAGTGTGTGTGTGTGTGTGTGTGTGTACACACACACACGTTGTTCTTTTCCTTTTTCTAGATTGTTTAAAAAATAAGACATAATATGACTTCAAAATTTATTATAAGTTGATGCTAATAAGAATCAAAGAATGTAACAATTCTTTAAAAATATGCTATAGAAAACGAATTATTCATATTTACTTGTAATAATATATCCATGAGATAAATCATTCCTGTGTTTGTGGGTGGGCTTATTTGGTAAATTTTACACACCCACAAAATCAAATTGAACAACATTTAAAGTTCAGCTCCACACAACTGCCAAACCTTTCATATATATAAACAGTCTTCAGACTGTTGGAATACTTTTCAAAACACATATTCTCAACCTATAGTGTTCTATTTTAGTTTAAGCCACTTGTTACTCTCTGAAATATAAGCATACAGTATCTCCCCAATACACGCAATTAGTCGTGGGAAAAGCACACTCTCCATGTTAGCTGGACATTCCACGTTGAATGAAAACCAAGCTTTGGGGGGGGGAGGGGAGGACAACACCACAATATACAACGGCAAATTTGAAAGCACAGAGCAAAAAAACACACAATCACACTCATCTCACTAGAATGCATTACCTGGCAAGGAGAAATTGTGAGTTCTGGATAGCCTGCTGATTATTTTCTGCATTAGACGTGTTGGTTGTTGCTGTAGATTGTGTAACAGTGGTGGTGACACTGCTAGTATTCGTACGCCTCGTTGCATTGCGTGCAGTCTCCAGTTGTTGCCTTGCTGCCTGTGCATGTTGTCTTTCTAACTGCAGCTGCATCTGCAACTGCTGTAACTGAGACGCCGAAGGACCAGAGGAGTTGAGCTGTCCCCCTGCAGAACGCCTTACACCAGATAACTGAGATAAAAGCTCTGCCAACAAGAAAAGAGAAGGGAGACTAAAATCTGCTCTCACAAATCCATGGCCAGGGCCAGTAGCCAGAAAATTCCTTTCCATTATTTTGGGATTTTACTGCCACTGTATGAAATGTTCCTAACTCCTGACAACCTCTAAGACACAGGGACTCTTGGTAAATGATAATTTCAAGTAACAATATTGATCAGGGCTTTTTCACACAGGCCAGACAAGGAACAATGGATGGAAACTGAACGAGGAGAGATTCAACCTGGAAATAAGGAGAAATATTTTGACAGTGAAAGCAATCAACCAATGGAACAGCTTGCTTTTGGAAGTTGTGGGAGCTTCATCACTGGAAGCTTTCAAGAAGAGACTGGACTGCCATCTGTCAAAAATGGTGTAGGATCCCACTTGGGCAGGGGCTTGGACTAGATGACCTACAAGATCCCTTCCAACTCTGTCAATGTGTATTTATACAGCCATGAATATCCTTGGTTTCTAGAAATTGGTTTTGATTTATTCAGAACACGGTAATGCGCAAGGAAAAGATGCAAATAATTGTTAACCCTTACCAGCTATAGGATCCATGGCTTCTCTATTGCTTGGAGAATACGAACTCTGTGATGATGAAAATCCACCAGTGGAACTGCTAGTAAAGTGCATGTTTGATCTACGTGCGCGGGGGCCACCCAATCCTCGACCTGGGTGAAACATTCTACGTACATGCCGAACACCGCTGGATTCATCGTTACCAATAAGTTAAGGAAAAAGCGTCAACAAAGAGTTGCAAAGAAAGAAAACTTTAGTCCGTGTTCCCCCCTGTTCCCTCCCCATCCCAAGAATCCCAAAGGTGCTTTTTCAAGAGGTAACTGGACTTTCTGGTCCAACACAACACAACAAGAGCAAAGAACGACAAAAAGGCAAATTTTCTACCCTACAGTTTAGACAGGAAAAAACACACACAAAACAGAAAAAACAACCCAAATGAACAGTGACATGTCTCAGAAAACTGACCGAAGGGTGAGAGATCTGTCTGACAGAGAGTTTTTCCAAAGAAGAAAACAATGTTTTGGTCAAAGGACTGGATTTTGCAGTAACACCAGAACAGTTACCAATTGTAGAACTCTTCACAGCCACAGAGTCATCCGTCAGGAACAATAAATTGGCAGAAGCAGAACAATTAAGGAAGAAGGTATTTGTAGCTCTCGTCAAAACCAAAATGCCCCCTTTCCAACCTCACAATTCAAGAAAGGATAGTGACATCTCTAGGAAGAGCGAGCCAAACCTCACCATCCTTGCTAGCTGATGAAGAAAGATGCAGTTATCCTGACCAGAAAGTCCAGTTGCCTCTTGAAAAAGCACCTTTGGAACAACCGTGACCTGGATGACTGAGAATCTCCATACACACCTCACCCAAGAACTATAAAGATCAAAAGAAAAGCTATTTAATTAAATGCTACTTAATGGATTCATTTTTATTTTAATGTTATAACAATTAGAAGAAACTTTGGATAAAGGCAAAACCATATAATAAACTATCATTACGAAATAACAGACAAAAGAGAGGCCCTGCCTTGAGGATTTACAATTCATTGAAGGTTTCACAGGCCATGATTTGAAATGTCCATATAAAGAAGCCCTACTTACCCATGGCATCCTCATATCTAAATAAAGGTTTGAATCTAACTTTCTCCTGTATTGTGCTCTTAAGTACCTTGAAGTGTGGCTAAAAAGCACTCATTACCACAAAATATAAAATTATCCTTGTAGCTGGAAAAACTGGGCATTTTTATCTGAAGATCTCTTGATTAAACAATTTGCTCTGTGCGCTTACACAATATTTGGTAAATTAAATCACAGCAGTCAGTTCATTATTGCTTCCTACACCAAAGGAGTGTTAACAGTGGAGATACATAATAGAACACCTAAGTTTAGATAAGTGTAACTAAATTGCAACACTACTTATCGGAAACTATTCACCTAAATAGTTCCCTAGGAACAATACTTCAAATAGGAATTTATTAGTACAGACAGTCCTTGACTTACAACAGTTTGTTTAGTGACTGCTTGAAGTTACAACAGCACTAAAGGAGTATCTTAACTTACTGCACCTGTGTATGGTTTGCCAACTGCACAGTGGCAGATAGGACAGCACTCAAGAGGGTTAACGTCATTGCCCAGAAGATCACTGGTTGCCCTCTCCCCTCTTTGGAAGAGCTTTATAGCTCCTGCTGCCTTAAGAAAGTTCAAAACATTCTCAAAGATCCATCTCATCCTATTACCATCTGGCAGATGGTACAGGATAATAAAAACAAGGACAAATAGGCTGAAAAACAGCTTCTATCCCAGAGCAGTAACTCTGTTGAATTCTTCTGTATAGTACAATATTAATGCAATGTTAGGGATTTTCAATTCTATGTATAGAATGTGAAGGATGTGTGTTTGTGTTTATTTTCATAGTCATAATACAATAAAGATGGTATTTAATTTTGTTGTACGAGATGCAATGACAATAAAATAAACTAAAAAAGTGACTTATGATCATTTTGCATACTTATGACTGTTGTAGCATCCCCCAAGTCATGCCCAAAGTCATACCGACTCATATTTGGGACAAATGCCCATGGTCCCAGGGTCATGTGATCACTTTTTGTGATCTTCTGAGAAGCGAAGTCAATGGAAAAGGCAGATTCACTTAACAACCATGTTACTAACCTGACAACTGCAGTGATTCACTTAACAACTGTGGTAAGAAGGTCATAAAATGAGGCAAAACACACTTAACAAACATTTCACTTAGCAACATAAATTTTGGGGCAACATAAATTGTGGTCATAAGTCGAAGACCAACTGTACATCTATATTCCATCTTTCTTCTAGGAGTTCAACATAGATCCCTTAGGAATCTTCTTTAATTTTCACAATAATGTTGGACTGAAAAGAGACTGAACCAATGCCACTAAAGGAACAATATGGTAAACTGGGGATTTTAACCTGACTCTCCTAATCCAATCTAATGCTTCAACCGCACCTGTTTAGATGACAAGTTTCAAAGTCTTTCTTTAAGTGTCGAAAAATAAACTTCTTATATAGTTAACCATTCAGATTTGATTTGGCACAAAGCGATCAAGCACAGCTTCTTGGACATAGCTAGCAACTCAAATCCTGTTCGCTTGGGACAATGCCTACCCTGTATGTTAATAGAATAACTTCGTTCAAAATTAACTTGTTTAATGCATCCAACAGTAATTTTCCTGTTGTTTCTTAATTTAGGAAAGGATATTAAATCTCTAGGAGCTCTGTGTTCCAGTGTAAGATGAGCTGCAAAGTCATCCGTTACGTGATTGGGATCTCCTCCAGGTAATGCTGCACATATTGGACAAATCTAAAAATGATAAAAAGTTTAGAAAGTCTACTTGCATCATGGTCTTCAACAACAAGAAATCTCTAGCAGGAGCTGCCACATTAAAAAGCACACAAAGCACTTAAGTAAATTGGAATGCTAACTTAAGAGGGCAAGAAAGGTTAAACATGTATGCATGTAAGACTGAATATTTCACCTATCTTACAGTGCTGCCAATCTATGCATCAAATCTGATATATAATTGTTATCCAATTCTGGCTTTTTAAGCAAGAATCTAATAATTTTGCCACTCCTAATTTCCAAAGTGACTTTGCCAGAGCATTATCGAACTAAAGTTTAGAACAAGTGGGGGGGGGGGTGGAGAGAAACCCTCAGTAATCATTTATAAACAGACTGTTGGTTTTGCAGAGACAAAGATGATTCTAGATGGCTGTAGAAAAATGTGGCAGCTGCCACTGATGGTTTCTGGAATGAGCCCATTTCCAATTGGGCTCCATTATGATCTATTAATTTAGGGGTATGTGAATTTCTACTTTAAAGGAGAATCGAGCACTTGGATTAGATGTTTCAGTATGATTACAACTTTGACATCATCATGCAGATTTTTATAACATCCAGTAGCTATGAAACTGCCACCGAGTGGGGTCAACCAAAGCTCTTGAAAGTTGCAACTGCACAAACTGATTAAACGTGATGAAATAGGTAAGGCACAAAAAAAGCACTGGTGTTTTTAAAATATTGGTAGTTGTGGGTTTGTTTGATTTTTTGGGGGGTAATTTTGTATTAAGAGTGTTATGTATTCATTCACTATGAAGCCAAACAAAACATCATTGGTATCGGTTTGCTGTATTTATTGTGTACTTTATTTTTCTTTATTTCCAGGGCATATTACAAAATAAAACATTAGCCTGCACTACTTTCTACATTTTCATTCTTCAGGATTTCTACATGTTTGTGTATGTCTCAGTATGTCCCCTTCCAATGTGCCCACCCTTCTAATTTAAAGTAAACAGATAAAAAAATCAAATTGGAAGAAGGGGTCTTACTGCCTGCCAAAAGGAGCATCAGTAGAAACCAGAATGCATGCAAACTTTGCATGAGACAGGTATAATATTAAAAAGTCCTCCTTATAATCATTATGTATGAAAGTATCAGCCCTTAAAGCAGCATTAAGTCTATAGCAGTGGTGGCTAACCTTTTTGGGCTCCTGTGCCAAAAATCGTGCGCGCACTTACACGCGCAGTCGCATGCCAGCACCCAGAAGGCAGTGCGCCCCCCACGTCCCCTATGCATGAGCGCGCAATCCCCACCCCCGCCAGCCCCTTACCTGCACTGCATCTCATATTTGATTTTTGGCCGGTCTGAGGCCTTTTTCGGTCTCGCAAAGGCTTGAGGAAGTCACTTTCTGTTTTTCCGAAAAAAACTGGAAGTGATGAAACGGGGCTAGATTTAGGCCTACAAAGCTTGTAGAAGCCTGCAGAAGCCTTTCTCAAGCCTTTGGGAGGCCAGAAAAGGCCTCAAACCATCTGAAAATCAACTGTGAGGCGCGCATATGCGCAATGAGGTATGTTTGCCTGCAGCTCACGTGCTGGCAGAAATGGCTCTGCCTGCCACCTGTGGAACACATGCCATAGGTTTGCCATCACGGGTCTATGCTATCACTTTTTTTTTTTATTAAAATGCTCTTACAATGAAGAATAAATCAGGAAAATATTCAAAGGTAACAACATTACACAAATGGAAAGCTCAACATTTTTATTTGATTAATTTAATGTCTGTACCAAGAATGTGTGTGTGTGTGTGTCTGTCTGTGTATATATGTGTATGTATATGTGTATATATACCTGTGTACGTACACACACACACGCTATCAGAATAAAACCACAATGCTGAAAAATGTGAATAAATAATTAAAACCAAGGCTACTTAAACAGAAAAGCAACAAGGCAATAGCTTCAGTGCATTGCTCATGAGAGTGTTCTATGACTGGTCTGCTATTATTGAGAATGCTCTATTCCTGGCCACCATATCTTGAGCTAAAACTATTGTCCAAACTGATCTTACTGCATAGGGGTGTGCTATGGAGGCAGGTTTTAAATTGCTAGACTCTGAAGCTGTTTAGGGCTGGAGAGTATCATATCCTTAAACGGGGCCCTGAAACACTAATGTAGTACTCCTGGGCCTGACACCCTATTATCTATTTTAGCATCCAATTTAATAAATGAGTAGCTGTTTTCTGCACTTTGGGGCATTTTAGTAATCTAGCCAAGAAATTGTAAATATTAGGTGTAACTGAAACTAAGCAATCTTGATAGAAAAGGTGGAAAATGGCATGCCAGCCTAAGTTTGGGACCAGCCTTCCTCACCATTCAGGCCATCTGTGCCTCTAATGATAAGGTTTGAGTCAAGGAGAGCTCCCAAGTTATATATCTGTTATTCCAGAAGAAGAACAATCTTCTTAACGGGGCATCTTCCAAATTTCCTGGTCTAAGATTCCTATCTACATTATTTCTATCTTATCTAGGTTCAGGTTTTTGGGCAACTTTCAAGCCTCTATACAATCTTTTTCTGGTTCAGATGGAAAGGAGAAATAGAGTTCAGTGCCATCAGTATACTCGTTAAGACAGTTCTCCAAATCTCTGGATAATTGCTCCCAATGTCTTTATGTAGATATGAACATTAAAAAAAACTCTACAGAGAATAATTAAAACTGCCCAGAATATCATTGGGCTTCAGCTACTAGCCCTGGATGACATCTTCACATCTCGCTGTTTGAGGAAGTTGCACAACATTCTCAGAGACTCTTCCCATCCTGCTTACAATCTTGGTGAACTGTTGCCTTCTGGCAGAAGATACAGAACAATTAAAACTCGGACCACACATTTTCTGAAAGAGCTATAATTGCACTTTAACAATAAACTTAAGGACCACCATCAGTGAGCTGTTGGACAGTATTACTTGGTCTGTTGTGTGGATGCTTGTGTGGAGGCAGGGAATTTTGGTGGGTGGGGTGGTGTTTGGGGATTGTCACGTGTGTGTGCATGTTGAGTCTGGTCTCTGGTGTTATGTGAATTTCGTTGTATGTATACTGTGTATACATATAATGACAATAAAGAATTCAATTCAATAATTCAATAAACAAACAGTAGGAGAAAACTATTAGAATTAAGCACTTTGGACCAAAATATAAATGTCTCATTGACATTCTCTGGTGCCAGCTATCTTTGTATGATCTTCCTTATATAATCCCTTTCCCTTCAGTTATATATAACTTCTTATTATGAAAAGAACATATATTATTGGAAAAATATATTCTTATAGGAACATCTCAAATGAGTTGAATTAGCTCAAAGGCCATCTAGTCTAAAATTCTGTACATAATGTGTCAACTTGCCTGCTTTATTAAAGCCCAGAAGCAGGACATGAGACCAGTAGCATTCTTCTATACAGGTTCTCTGTTTTTTTAAATTTCTGGGATGAAATTTTAAAAGCTATTTTCATTTACCTGTTTTATAACTTTTATTGTCCATAATATTGGTCTAATCCTTCTTGAAAGCCATCCAAGCTGATGGGTAAATTAAAGTTTAGGATTGTCTTCTGATCATTTTATGACCAGTTGTTCTGTGTCTCGGTTGTTAGGTGTATTTAGAAAGTTAGGTTCTTGTCATCTGCATGAATAAAGTCTGAGGATATTTACGAAGTGGTCCAGCATAGGTAATTGCAGGAATATATTAAGTGGCATAAACTAATTTTTTTCTGGATGCCCCAGTCAAAAAATTGCCAATCAAATTATCAAGAACTATGTGGGGGCTTCCAGTTTGAGTTCCTTCGGCGACAGACAGAAAGACCAGGTTAAATTGCAAAAGCAACAACTAAGGTACCCTGGAATTTAAACTAAAAAAAAAAATAACATCGTTCCCAAAGAAGAGTCTGAAGCAGCGAAGG